TTTTTCGTTGATGAAGGATACGTCACCGTTGCGGATGAGCTATAAGAAGTTGGTGAAGGGTACAAAGGGGATTTTGTAGCCGTAACAGACGCAGCGGAAGATAGCTGTGATGTATATGTAGCTGAAGGATACGTTACGACAGCGGAAGGTGGCGCTAAGGACGGACTTGAGGACGACAGTAATTCTATAAGAAAACAAAAAGCAGAATGATCACTAAATTCAAAACTTGGATGAAAGTACACAGTTATTCCCCGGGTATCCAAGGTATCCAATCGATGAAATGATAATCGATGACAATCGATATCAATCAATACCATTTGATATCAATTTATCGATTGATATTGACAATCGATGACCAATCGATGGCGAAGATTCGTGTGGTTATCGATTGGTTTTTCGATCATCGATTTCCATCGATTGGATACCCCGGGTGACATGGAAAGGCAATGAACGTTCTCTGCGTTGAAAACACTGGGTCGGAATCGTCCCCAGGGTTTCCTAAAAATGGCGGATGATCGGATAGGTAGCATGCGTGACGTCTGTTCGGGGTTGCTGTGCCAAACGATGAACGGTTTTTTTGTGGTTATCGATTGATCATCGATTGACCGATACCAATCGATACCAACTAACTAATTTTATGGATTGATATCGATTGATCGATTGGTTTTCCGATCATCGATTTCCATCGATTGGATACCCTGGGAGTTATTGTACAATAAAGTCTTGATAGATCATTTCCCTTTCATCAATAAGGTACTTCCAAGTGAACATAAGAGTGCATGTCTCTCTTAAATACCTTGTTCACGAAACCCATCATCTTCGCACGCGCTTTTGCGCCGGCGCGAAAACAATACTGGATAGGGCTTCTGTTCACACGTACGAACACTGATTCCGGAGCGATTTCTGTAACGGAACGAGGCTGCACCGCGTCGATCTCTAAACTGTCTAAAGTGGAGAGTCCCATATCCGATAAAAGTGTTCAGACTATACCGGATTGCTTTTTGTTTCGGCACGAAAAGCTATCAGCAACGACGACGACGACAACGACAACGACGACGACGACGACGACGACGACG